AATCAACTCAAAATGGATCAAAGACTTAAATGTAAAGCCTTAAAGTATGAAACTGTTAGTAGAAAACTTAGGAGAAACTTTTTTCATTTAAATTTATTTATTTACATTCATTTACTATACATCATTATAGCATGCAAAATGAGATTTTTCAATCCAGTATATTGGGTCAAGCACATTAACATATGTGTTATCGCCAACAAATAATTTTCCATTTCTTGTTTCCTGTATATTTTGCTTTGTTTCCCATCTTTGATTCCCTATGTCTCCCCCTCTGCCATCTCCCCCCCTCCTCCCACACTGTCTCTGGTATCCAGGGTTGCTTTCTATGCCTCCCCACTTTTTAATGCCTTTTTTTTAATTTCAAGAAAAACAGTTTTCGTGTTTTTTTCCTGAAACTTTTTTTAATTAATTAATTTACATTAATTCCCTAAGCATTGTCACAGCATACAAAATGTGATTTCCCATCCAGAATATACTGCATAGTGGCTAAATCATGTGTGTGTGTGTGTGTGTGTGTGTGTGTGTGTGTGTATTTTCTTTTTTAACCCCTATTTCTGACCTTCTGCCCTTCCCCACCCTCTTCTCACACTATCTCTGGTGTCTATACTTGTCTTCTATTCCTTTCCTCCCCATATTTTATTGATCACACGATTTCTTAAATAATCTAACTACTATCAATAGCAAGTTCAGCTGGTATTTCAAGAAAAGCAGTTTTAACTTTAATAAATCAAAGAAATACTAAGGAACTTTGCTTAAAACTTAAAGCCAGGAAACAGGTTGGGATTCTGTTCAAATAGCAGGTACATGAACCTATCGACAGCTCAAGACAGGACAAAAATGTTTAAAACTGGACAACAAAGCCTAGAAGAAAATCAGCAATATTTTCATCAAAAGTCATAAAATGCTATTTCACCAGTTCAGTCTCACGTACTTAATCTATCTTCTATTGTGGTTCGATCTTCCCAATTTAATTCTGAGATATAATATTCAACTCCCAACTTGTCCCTGTGATTAAGCTGGCCATTTTCTTAGTTTCTGAACTCATATTTATGTGTTTCTGTATTTAATTTTCCTGCTATAGCACTTCCTTGAGAACTTCTTAGAGATCTGGTCTGGTGCTGGTAAATTCTTTCAGGTTTTGTTTATCTGGCAATGATCTTGTCTTTTCTTCCCAGATAAAGGATAATATTGCTGGGTATAGTATTCTTGGATGAAACTTCTTTTCCCTTCACACTTTGAATATATTTTCCCATTCTTTCCTCGCTCACATTGTTTCTGATGAGAGGTCGGCTGTTAGCCTGATGGGCTATCTATCCTTTGTAGGTAACTTGATGTTTTTCTCTTGCCAGTCTTAGTATCTTGTCTTTGTCTGTGGTTTTGGTCAATCTGGCTACAATGTGTCTTGGAGAAGATCTTCTTGGGTTGATTCTATTCGGGGTCCTTTTATTTCTTGGGACTGGATCTTTGAGTTTCTCTCTAGGTTTGGAACATTTTCGTGCAGGATTTCATGGTATAGTAATAGATTATCAATGCCCATACGAGTGTCTTCGGCTTCTGGGACACCAATTATCTGTATGTTTGATGGTATCTAGTATTTCTCATATATTATTCTCATTTTGGGAGGGGGGCATTTTCTCAGTCTTCATGGTGGATTTTTCTAGGCCAGTAATTTTCTCTTCTATGCTTGAACTTTTATTTTCTATATGATCTAGCCTACTTTTAATACTTTCAAGGGAGATTTTGACTTCCTGTATTATAGCTTGCATCTCTAACAGGTCCATTTGATTCTTTTTTAAAGTATGTAATACCTCTTTTGGATCTTGCAAGAATTTCCTAACCTCCTGGAACTCATCATCTCTTTTTTCCTTTCTATTCTGCAGTTCACTGTCTCTCTTCTCTTCCATCTCTATTAGCTTCACCATTATAAATATTCTAAATTCTTTATCAGACATTTCCATGATTTCCATTGAACTATCTGTGGATGAAGAGGAGCTATTTCTTTCCCTTGGAGGAGAGATATTTTCTTGCTTTCTCATATTTCTTGTGGCCCTGCGGTGATTACTAGTCATCTGATGGATGGTGTGTTTCTTCCTAAACTTGAAGTTCAATCTGAACATTCAGGAGTGTGCAGAAAGAGGTGATCTGGAATCTCTTTGTCTTTCTGTTTTGATCCCACTTGAGTTTATGGGCTGGAGGCTGAGTTATCAGTAGAAAATATTCATTTCTCTATTTTCCCTGCAATCACTAGTTCTCAGGAGCCAAGAAGGAGTCTTCCTCTGAAGGCCTGCCCCTTGCCTCTCTACTCGAGTTTGTGGGCTAAAGGCTGAATAACCAGTAGAAAATCTTCATTTCTCTTTTTTCTCTGAAATCACTAGTTTTCAGGAGCCATGAAGGAGTCTTCTTCTGAAGGCCTGCCCCTTGCCTAGGAGACACTCTCTAAGATATTAGAGTCAGCAAAGATTTTTTTAAACATTTTTTTGTATGCTCTAGCTATCAAGCAGGAAAACTGAAGATCAGTCACTAAATCACTGTAAATTTAATCCCCAAGAATATTTTTAATTCAAAGCCCATTTATGTAAAATTAGAGTTGTTTCTGAGGAAATGTTTGCTCAGCCAGGACCTACATTTTTTCTAAACTCCCTAAACCTTGGAGTAGCCATATAACTAATTTTTCCTAATGAAATATGAGTACAAATGATGTTTGATTACTTTGAAGTCATGGACTTCTATTTATTAGGCAGCTTAGCCTAGCCCAATTAATATATCAGGTACATGACAATATTTACCCTTACCTTGGAATATATTTTGATACTGTTTGGTAATCAGGTGACAAAATTGAGTATTGCTTTCCATAACTAACTGACTAAAATGTTATTTTGAAATTGTCATCAGGCCAGCAGTGGCATGGTGAATAAGGCACTGTTCTTCCACATGGCTGATCAAAGTTTTAGTACTGGAACTGGTGACCTGAAAATCATGCCAGGCATATGTAGATGTGTGCTCAAAATCTTGAGAGCATAATGGAGAGGGAAGGAATTATAGCATGGCCATTCCCCTTAGGGGTGATTTCTCACTTCCCCTCTCTGTCTCTCTCCAGTAAGCGCACTCAACCTATGGCCAAAAAAAAACTTGACATCACTACAGTTAAATACCAATTATGATATTTGCTATAAGGAAAACACAACTTTAGAGAAGGTGTAAATTTTAAATTTATGTCGTATATGTCATATTGGAATTTATATATCATTGCAGAAATTTATAGAAACAGAATAGAAAAAGAATTTGACCTCTTTTTTAAAGTTAAATTCTACTTTTAATCCTTTAATAAAACAACTTTAATAACCAATTGTCTTTTTTTTTTTTGCCACAGGACAAGTCAGCTCACCACAGAGACAGAAAGAGAGAGAGAGAGCGAGAAACAAAGTAAGAAATCACTCCAGGGAGGATGGCCATTCCACAGTCTCTTCTCCCTCATTCTCCTCTCCGGATTCCGGGCACAAATACACAAACACCTGGCATGATTTTTAAATCACTAGGTCTGGGACTCGAACCACGGTCATCCATGTGGGAGTCCAGAGTCTGAAACACCACGGCCCTTTAACTGGTTAGGAGGTAAAACAGATTTGAAAGTCAGAAGCACATAGTTGCCAAAAAAGGTACCTTCTATTCTATTTAGTCAAACTACTTAATTTAGCCCATAATGAGTGACTACATATAAAATGAATTCAAAGATCGGATAATGATATAGTCATTCTTTTCTTTTTTTGGATAGATTTTCAATATAGGGTGCGTGCGCTCGCCAGACAGACAGAGACAGACAGAGAGACAGAAAGGAGAAATCACCCCCCAGGGGGGATGGTCACGCCGCAATCCCTTCTCCTCCATTCTCCTCTCAGGATCTTGGGCATGCACGCACATGGTCCCGGCGTGAGTTTTAAGCCACCGGGTCCAGGACACAAACCGCGGTCAACTATGTGGGAGTCCAGCAACAATGCCATTACGCTAACTGCTGATTCACAATACAGTCATTCTTTTTTTTTTTTTTTTTTTTCTCGCTATAGGGCGCATACGCTCACCAGACAGACAGAGAGAGACATAGAGACAGAAAGTGAGAAATGACCCCCTGGGGGGATGGTCACGCCGCAATCCCTTCTCCTCCATTCTCCTCTCAGGATCTTGGGCACGCACGCACACGCGCCCGGCGTGAGTTTTAAGCCACCGGGTCCAGGACACAAACCGCGGTCAACTATGTGGGAGTCCAGCAACAATGCCATTACGCTAACTGCTGGTTCCCCCAATACAGTCATTCTTAAAATACATTTTTACTTGCATGTTTAAGATGTTTATAACTTGAAAATGGCAATGACCGCATACATGTTCATATGATAATATACTGATTATTCATTCACATAATTTAAAAGTACAAATTTTCAAAAGATAAAACAGAATCAGTCATTATTGTTTCTACTCTACAAATAAAATCATCAGAAAATTTGTATGTTTCAGAAGTGAATAATAAATGCTAATAATAAAAGACAAAATTCAAAAAGAAATGAATAATAATATATATTATAAAATAACACTAGAAAGTTTTAATATATAAATATCATAGACTATTAATTCAGAAAACAAGTAAGAGGCAAAGAATAATGAAGAATAAAGGGACTGGCAGGTGGCATGATGGTTAAGGATGTTGAACTCCCACATGGCCTACTGTGGTTCAAGTCTCAGACCTGGTGGCTTGCTTTCTTGCTTCACCTCTCTCTCTCTCTCACACTCTGTCCCTCTCTGTTCAAATTAAAAATAAACAAATAAATAAAATCTAAAAAAAAGTATAATGAAGAATAATCTGGCTATAGTGATTTCAAAATAGTAATGCTTTAACATAATGATCCTGAAATTATTAATGAGCATTATTTCAAAAACATTAAAAATAATTTTAAAGATTTACTACATAAAACAAGTATAATAATTTTAAATATTTGTATGATAATACCAACCTGCTCCAATTCTTGTATTTTAGCATCCTTGACTTGCAGAATTTCTAAAACTTTTCGGTCCTTAGCTTCAGATTTCTGTTTTTCTCTGCAAACAAACAATATATAGAGAGAGAGTTCAATTTGTCATAACTGGTAGCTAATCCTTCAAATTTTGACATTCTGGTAATCAATATCACTTTAAAATACAGAAAATTAGGGACAAGCAGTAGTGTTATAATAATGCAACTGGAGCTACATACAAAAACTCTGGATTCACACCCCAGGACTTCTCAGAGCACGCAGAGTATAAGCACAAGGGCATGCCCATGAGCTGATCCAATTTTGACTGGGAGTAGGCTGTGGTATGAAAACCTTGTTGAGGGGCTGCCTCTTTCACTGATGGAAATATCAGTAAATTTTAAAAACATATAGAGAGATAATTAAATCATCTTGGATTGGCAGTCCTTTTAGAATTAATTAGAAACCATATGGCAAGTGACAGCAACTCACAACTAAGACAACTTCATACTAAAAGAACAGCTTAATTTGTAAATCCAGATATTTGAATAAAATACATTAAACACTGTTTAAACTTGATTGCTATAAACATGTCATCACTTTCAAAATTATTAATAAATAAGTAAAAGCATTCTTATTAATACAGGTGACCCCTGAACAACACAGGTTTTATGTGGACCTTTTTCCAAGAAACATTATAAATGTATTTTCTTTTAAAATTTTCTTGACAACACTCTTTTCTCTAGCTTACTTTATTGTAAGAATACAGTATAAATTATCTATAACATACAAAATACGTATTAACTGCTTATGTTATCCATAAGGCTTCCAGTCAACTGTAGAATATTAATACAATAGTTAGGTTTGTGGGGAGTCAAGGATTTTTATGCAGAGTGTTAATGCCCCTAACCCTCATGTTGTTCAGGGGTCAACAGTAAAATCATTCTATATGTACAATTAAATTTGGATAAATTAAATCATTTTAAAGTAAGAGTGAGAATGAGGGGTCAGCAGATGGCATAGCAGTTATGTTGTTGGACTCCCACGTGGCTGACCACAGTTTTAGTCTCAGACCTGGGGCTTGAAAACTCATGCCAGGCAGTATGTGTCCCAGAGCCAGTGGCTTGAAACTCATGCCAGGCAGCGTGTGTGTGCCTAGGATCTTAGGATGAGAATGCAGGAGAAGGAATTGTGGCATGGCCATCCCCGCTGGGGAGTGATTTCTCACTTTTTCTCTGTCTCTCTCTCTCCCCAGTGAGTACACATCCCCTAAGACAAAAACCTCTACAAAAAAAAAAAAAAAGAAAGAAAAAGGAAGAGAACCAGAGGTTTACTAATAATCAATATTCCATAACTTGACTCTCTTGATTTCTTACATCTTCCCACACATTTCTAGTCTCTGAGAATACTACCACTTAACCTACTGGGTTTTCAGGAAAGTAATGGCACATTTTTGCAAATATGTGCCATGACTTTCCCAACCTAATAAATGGTAGTATATAATCAAAGCATAGTTCTCTGTGAAACAGAAAATAAAAATACTAGTAAATAAAGACTATTTTCTAAAAATAAACATATGTACTTTTAAAAAGGAAAGGAAGTGATAAAGGTCTGAAGAGATTATACAATCAGGCTGACACTAAAAAATTTGCATCATATATTGGGAAAAATGTATTAAACATTGACTTAAACATTTTTAAAACTTTAAAATTAGGTAAAAATAAATAGAATCTATACCTAAATTGCCCACAGGATGTACAGATAAAGAAGTAGGAAAAAATCATCACTTGAGAAAGATTGAAATGTAGCACTGGCACAAAGGTACATTAGAAGGAACACTGACCAGAAAGGTAAAGGATACCAATCAAAAAACTTGCCACTGGTTATAAGAGGTAAGTTCAGAAGGCATAAAAGTATATTAAAAACATTTACATTAGACTTCCAATTAAGTTATTATAGTAAGTTCATACTTAAAGCACCCTCCCTCCTCTAAATATACAGTGTTAATGGAAAAATATAAAAGAAAAAACTGAACAAGGATGTAGATATAGACAAAACTACATGTACGAGGATCACACACTAAATAGAAATAAAAAGCTCTGAATAGAGATGAAGCTGCTGTTTGCTGTGCTCCAGATCCAGATCCAGAAAAAGGGTGAAGTCAAGAGGAGATTAGCTTCTGGGGATAATAGGAATAAATAGCCAGGTTCATTAAGCTAGAGACTGGAGTGGGAGCCCTAAATCATAAAAGAAGGCTAGAAAAAGCTTTTGTCCACTCTTGCCTGAAACTAAGGCTTATACAAAAGTTTAAAAAGGTAGAAGTTTATAGATATAGCATCGAGTTGGGAGCTGAGTCCAAACACACTATGGTTGAAGCACTAAACAATGCAAATCCCTATATCACAGTTGGCTAAAAATCCCAATGTACCAAGATAAACGTACTTCAGGAAGGAGGACTGGGACGAGGTTGACAATTTAGTGGCAACCATAAAATTTCTAGAGGAAAAATATGTTAGGGCCAGACGGTGGCATGAGGTTAAGTTGTTGGATCCCACATGGTTGACTCCACAATTTGAGTCTCAGACTCAGTGGCTATAAAATCATGCTGGACACATGTGTGTGTATGCCTAAAATCCTGAGAGGAGAATGGAGGAGAAAGGTCTGTGGAGTGGCCATCCTCCCAAGTCCTCCTACTGGCGAGAGGGATTTCTCTTTTTCCTTCTTTCTCTGTCTCTCTGGCGAGTGCTCATACCCTACAGAAAAAAGAAAAGGAAAAAACAAACAAATAAACAAACAAACAAAAAAAACTAGACAAAGAAGATTTGGAGAAAGAAAATAGAACAGTAACAATAACAGCTATCTTCCCTCTCAAAATCTAATCACAAACAAAAAGAAAAAATCCAAGGCACATGAACCCACACACCAATACACTAGCTCAATCATAAAAAGATATAATCCTTAGGACAAAATAAAAATAACAGAACACACTTAAAAAGACTTTAAATTTAAGTAAATTAGAAAGCCTTAAAAGATATTTTTAAATTACATTAAAAAAAGAAAGACTATAAATAAGATGAGGACATAAAAAAACTATTAAAATTTTTGAAAATAAACATTATAATTGCTAAAGCAAAAGACAACTAAACTGGCTAAGTTCAAAGGTAAACACAAAAGACAAGAAAAATGAATAAGAGTTATGAGGAAATCACCCAGAACTCTGCATTAAAAATGATGAAACTAAAAATATGGAAATACTGTTGGATATGTAGGTTTCATTGAAAATTTCTAAATATATCTAAAATATGCCAGAAATTACTTCACCGGCCCAACCCCACAATCTAGCCAGGACAGGGCAATCACAAGCCATCTACATTTGAGCTCTGAGTGGCCCCTTTCAGAGTCTAGGACAACTGAAGATCTTCTGTTTAGACTTTACCCTCCTGATCCCAAAATCTAGCCAGAACAGGTCAATTACAAGCCATCTACATTTGAGCTCTAAGCAGCCCCTTTCAGGGACTAGGACAACTGAAGATTTTCTGTTCAGACTTCACCCTCCCGATCCCAAGATCTAGCCAGAAAAAAAAAAAAAAAAAACATATAATACATCAGATGACCAGAAACCACCACAGAGGCACAACAAATATGAGAAACCAAAAAAATATCCCTCACCCAAGGGAAAACTCCTCATCATCCAAGGCAGTACAATGGAACTCATGGAAATGTCAGACAAAGAGTTTAGAACATTCATAGTGACAAAGCTAATAGAGATGCAAGAAAATAGAAACAAACTCCAGAAGATGCAGAAAAAAAATAAAGAGACAAGTTTCAGGAGGTGAGGAAGTTCTTGCACAATCAAAAAGAGGAAATACACACCATAAAATAGAATCAAATGAAACTGTTAGAGATGAAGGCTGTAACACAGGAAATCAAAATCTCCCTTGAAAGTATTAAAAGCATATTAGATCATGCAAAAGATCAAATCTCAGATGTAGAAAACAGAATCTCTGACCTAGAAAAATTCACCAAAAGGACTGAGAAAATAACCCCCCAAAAAAGAGAATAATATACAAGTAATACTAGATACCATTAAATGCCAAAGTGTCTGGATAATTGGTATCCCATAAGGTGAAGAAACTAATCAGGACATTGATGATCTATTCTATGAAGTCCTGGAAAAAAGCTTTCCAATCCTAGAGAGGCATTTGAATATCTAGACTCAAGAAATACAAAGGACCCCACATAGAATTAACCCAAGAAGATCTTCTCCAAGGCACATTATAGCCAGATTGACCAAAATCACAGAGACAAAATACTAAAATTGGCAAGAGAGAAATGTCAAGGTACTTTCACAGGATATTCCACCAGGATAACATCGGACTTCTTATCAGAAACAACGTAAGCAAGGAAAGAATGGGAAATTATATTCAAAGTGTTAAGTGAAAAACAATTTCAACCAAGAATCCTATACCTGGCAAGATTATTCTATGTATGGAAAAAAAAGACAAAAACATTCCCAGAAAAACAAAACCTGAAAGAATTTACCAACACCAGATCAGCTCTCCAAGAAGTCCTTAAGGGAGTGCTATACCAGAAAAACTATAGTCAGACACATAGAAATAAGTGTACAAAAAACAATCAAGAGAACGGCCAACTTAATGTTAGAGACAGGCCAGGGAGATCAATAGTAACAATGAATATTAACTTCCAGAATTTAAACAGAAAGATTGGACGATAGCAACACTGCAAATTCAACAGACAAGAGATTAATTACATGAGACTGAACTGGTGAAATAGAATTTTATGATTTTTGACTAAAATATGACTGATTTTCTTCTATGCTTTGCTTTCTAGATTTAATGATTTTTTTCTTCTCTTGAGCTATTGATAGGTTCATCTATCTATTGTCTGAACTAAATTCTAACCCTTTTCCTGGCTTTAAGTCTTAAGCAAATTTCTCTTAACATTTTTTGATTATGACGTATTAAAACTAAAACTGCTTTTCTTGAAGTTGAAAATTACATATTTAATGACTACAGTAAGCTACATAGCCTCCAGCTAGGTGTTACTTTATAATATGGTCATTCTACT